CTCAGTAGACCAAACAAATAATGTTTTAATGTGCTATTTTTTGATCAAAATGGTAATCTATAACATCCTATTTTTTTAAATAAAGTTTAACTGGAGCCATGGGTGGTGATTCACATTTATAATCCCCACAGTTTTGGGGGCCAAAGCAGGAGGATGACTTGAGGCCAGGAGTTTAAACCTAGCTTGGGCAACATAGTAAGACCCCCATCTCTTAAAAGAATAGAAAACTTAGCTGGGCTTGGTAATGTACTTGTAGTCCCAGCTACTTGGGAGGCTAAGGCAGGAGAATCCCCTGAGCTCAGGTTGCAGTGAGGTGTGATTGTAGCACTGCACTCCAGCTAATCAGTCCAGAGAGAGAAAGAGAGAAAGAGAGAGAGGAGAATGGATGGAAGGAAAGAAGGAAGAAAAGAAAGGAGGGAGGGAGGGAGGAAGGAAGGAAGAGAGGGAGGGAAAAGAGGGAGGGAGAAAGAAGGGAGGGAAGGAGGGAAGGAAGGAAGGAAGGAAAGAAAGGGAGGGGGAGGGAGGGAGGAGGGAAGGAAAGAAGAAAAGGAAAGGAAAAGAAAAGAACTTTCATTGGAACCAAAGCCAGCATTAGGGTGAGGGGAATGAGGTAAAATCATGCAAGAGCAGGGTTGGATTCTGTCCTCTGTTAAAATGTTGACATTTTGTTTAGCATAGACTTTTTGCATAATTTTGAGTTTCTAAAGTATTGTGTGAAAATATTATTTATCTTGATGACTGAGGTTTTTTTGGTGCTCCTTCACCGCACCCTAGCCCTGACCCCAAGGAGTACCAGCCTTATGGTGTTGTCATTGGGAAGGTTCAAAGAGACAGAGCATCAGGATCTCCCTCCACCACTTGGGACAGCATCTCCCCGCTCTGTGTCTCTCTCCACATCCTCTCTGCAGGGCACCGCTGGCACACACCCTAACAGCTTCCACCCCATCTATCCCAGCCTCTCTTCCTCTTTGCTGAGGAATTTTCTCCTACACCAGGGGAGCTTGATAAAGCAAGGCATTCAGAAATGCCAGGAATTTCACTTCTGGAGGGGACTGTGTACCTTAGAGGACAGTAGTTGATTAATAAATACTTCCATTCAACATATGAACTTTTCTTCTTAAAGGCTGTTGACAAGGGAAATAGCAGGACTAGGGTAAGGTAAGCAAGACACTTGCCTCAACAGCAGAATTTAAGGAGGTGCCAAAAACTCAGTATCAAGATACATAGTGTTTGGGCCGGTATGGTTGCTCACACCTGCAATAATCCCACCACTCTGGGGCCAAGGCGGGAGGACAGCTGGAGCCACTGAGCTATAATGATACCACTGCACTCCAGGTTGGTCGACAGAGTGAGATCCTGTTTCTAAAAAGAAAAGAAAAGATTTATCATGTTTTAATGAAATATTTTTTAAAATAATGAGCCCTAAGCTTAAGGATATTGTGGGGACCCACTTAGAACCTCAGAATTGGTACAAAGATTATTTTAAATTGAAGACATTTGGGATTAAACAGATGCAGAAAGACGCCTTCTTGCAGCTTCCCTTATCTGACTAAAAGCAGAAACTCCTGGGGAATGAGACTGCCATAAATTCCCTCTCCAGGGCAGCTTTTACTCCCAAGAAGGAGACCAAAAGTAAACCTATGATAAATCCCCTCTCCAGGGGAAGTTTATGGCCATGGAGAAAATGAAAAGACCACTGCAAAACCAAGCATTGTACAGACTTCCTTATCCCCGCTTTGTTCTTCTAGAAACCCATTTGTCTTTCCTAAAGAACCCCATTAAGTCCTCCCATAGAGGCCTCCCCCCTTTTCCCTACTAAGTATGTAAGTCCTTAAATTTAACCATTTATCATTTATTCAGCTACTTCTTTCATAAGCTCCTAAGTGCATATGAATAAGCTCTTTTTGTCCCCTGTCAGTTTAATTTACAGGCCCCCAGGTGATGAACATAAGAGGACAGAGGAAAAATTTTTCCTCCTCCTCCTCCTCCTCCAACATCAGAAACTGACTGTTTGATTTGAGGAAGGCAGAAGTCTTAACGCTGTATACCATATCATCTCAACCATCTCAACCAAGAGTAGGGCTAGGAACTTGAGTTTTAGAATTTAACAGAAGAAAAGTGTGGGGAAATATAACGACGTGAAAAGCTCTATCCAATGTGAAATGAACAGAAAGTCTTGACTTGCCACTTGCCACAGACTCTCCTTATTTTCCATTCCCATATCACAACGCTTTTCCCAGACAACAGATTACTCATTACACAGGAAAGGATGATTCCAGTGTTTCTGCAAAGCAGACGCTGAGGTATAACCAAACACATTTGGCCGCATACACATTTTCTCCCTTTAGCCAAAAACCACTTTTCCCTTTCTTGTTCAGAGAGGAAAACATACAAATTGTGAAGCAAAGACAGGGCCTACATGTGTATTTTAATTAATGTGTTTCTCCAGTGCAACCTCGTTATTTAAAAGGGAGCCAAGTAGCATCTGTCAAGAGCACGTAGGTGGCCTAGTTCAGAGTCTGCCGGAAGAGCTCTCCCTTCTTGTTTATATCCAACACCTTACAACACAGAAAACCTAAACATAAGACTTTCCTCTCCGTAATCCCTCACAGTGGCACAAGATTTTATGATCTCTTACGTTGCCAGTTTCACCTCACTCCCTCACGGAGCCAAGTGCTTAAAAGGAGCCAAGAGGCTGCCTGGAACTGAGAAGCATGGAACCGTAGTTGGCTTTGCATTTAGCTCCAAGGCTTCCCTAAAAAGCACCTTATCCTAAGGCAAATAATTCAGGGAAGTTGGGAACAGGAAATATCTATATTTGCTCTATCACAAGTCTACCTTCTCTTTCTTTTTGATCTTTGTGCAATTTCCTAGAAGAACCTGTATACACCGAGCTGCTGCTCTGCACCCTGGGACATCATCTTCCTGCCTCCTGAACCTGCTTTTCTCTGCGGCCGCTTCTGTAATTGTCACATACATCAGCCAGCACTTTTTTCATGTCCAGTCAAGCAGATACTCACTTCCTATTTGCATCTAAAATCTAAAGACCAATCCCCAGGAAAGCCCATGCATGAAAGTCAGTAATAAGTAAGAAAGTTGTGATGACCCACTAAATCAGCAACTCCCTGGTAACTTTCCTAGAAAGAAATCCAGGCTGGAAAGAAGTGTTTTATTGTTTTTTTTTTTTCTCCAAGTAAATTTCAATGTATCTTACAGAAACTCCATGCACAGCTCAACAAGAAATTAAAAGATAAGCAAGATTTCTTTTTTTTCCTACCTCAACAAATATCATATCCTATTAAGCTGCACATTAACATGATGTAAAAGGAATCCTATTTTAACGTAAGTTAGACATCAAAAATACACAATTTTTTAAGGAGCTAGGAAATATGTTAGTGAAAGTGCTAACCATACTCTGTGAAACCCACATAAGTGGGTGTTGGATTGCTAACATGTGTCAAATTTCAACAAGCTTACCCACCCAAGCACAAATTTTGCAACTAAAGAAAATATTAAGCAATTTTACACACCTTGCAATGCAGCCGTTCCAATGTAGTTTAAATCAGTTGAAGGGAGAACCACTTGCAAAATTTGTCTTAAAAACAAGAGATAAAGGGCAGCACCTGCCGTAGTGCAGTGAGTAGGGCTCCAGCTATATACACCCAGGCTGGCGGGTTCTAACACAGCTGGGCCAGCTAAACAACAATGACAACTGCAACAAAAAAAATACTGGCTGTGTGGCGGGCACCTGTAGTCCCACCTATTTGGGAGGCTGAGGTAAGAGAATCGCTTAAGCCCAAGAGTTTGAGGTTGCTATGAGCTGTGACTCTACCCAGGGCAACAGCTTGAGACTCTGTCTCAAAAAAAAAAAAAAAAACCCAAGAAATAAATTAGTAAAGTCAGCTAGTAAAATCTGCCATGGAAGAAACTGGCCAGATTTTTAGATTATATATATATGTTCTGATGAAAAACTAGTGTGTGTTACTTAGCTCTTGTTCTTTAAAAAGAATTTTCTTTCAACATTCTCAAGTATATTTTCCAAAATATATTAAGGGATGGATTAAACATTTTGCTCCATGAATGACACTTTCTGGTGAATCTAAGAAATTGGGAATCCCTGCACCTCAGCCCTTAGTGTTGAAATTCCTCCCAGATTGCCTTTTTAGGGACAGTGTACTGAATTTCATCTGTCATGTTGGATGACTGAGCATCACACACCTCTGAGCATGAAGCAAAAATTCAGTTGCACGGGTACCAGTATTGGGCCCTGTTTGGTAGTATAGGAGGAAATACAGGCCATGTTCATACCCCTTCTTCTCCCTTGCCCTATTGAGATAGAAAAGCCTGCCAAACTTAGTCTGGGATCTGGCTCTATTAGCCAAGGTTCTCCAGGGAAATAGACCCATAGGACGTTTATAAACAGAGATTTATTCTAAGAAATTGACTCATGATTGAGGAGTCTGGCAAGTCAAAAATCTGCAGGGTAGGCCTGCAGTCTGGAGATCCAGGGAAGAGTTGATGTTGCAGAGTCCAGATGTTATCTGGAGGCAGAATTCCCTTGGGGAAGGACAAGCTCTTTACTCTTCGGACCTATAGTTATTTGCTTGAGGCCAACCCACCAGGAAAGGTTATCTGCTTTCCTCAAGGTCTACTGATTTAAATGTCAATCTCATCTAAAACAAAATGCCTTCACAGGCCAGCTATGATGGCTCATGTCTGTAATTCTAGCACTTTGCAAGGCCAAGGCAGGACATCAGGAGTTCTAGACCAGCCTGAGCAAGAGTGAGACTTCTGTCTCTACTAAAAATAGAAAAATTAGGTGGGCATTGTGGCAGGTAGCTGTAGTCCCAGCTACTTGGGGGAAGACTGGGGCAAGCAGATCACATGAACCCAGGAGTTTGAGGTTACTGTGAGCTATGTGATGCCATGGCACTCTAGCCTGAGCAACAGAGTGAGACTCTTATTTCAAACAAAACAAAACAAAAAAATACCTTCACAGCAGCATCTATACTAGTATTTGACCAAATGACTAGGTAGCTTGGCCTAGCTAAGTTAACACATAAAGTTAACAACCATGGGTAGGGAAGGGCATTCTTGAAGATGTCATAAAATCTTAAATAGGCATGAACAAAACATGGAAGAAAGCTAGAGAACAAGTTCATCTGCTTAATCCTAATATGTCAAGGCAAGAGAAGGGAAGGGAGGAGAGTTTGATTTTATTCGTATTAATCAATATCTTTTGTCTTTTAATAGCCAGCTGGTTTGCATATCTACTTACATGCTCAAAGCATCAGGGTCCATGTTAATTGCTCCAGTGTTCCATAGCGTTGCTCTGGGAACCTTGTCAAATGTCTGGGAGGTAGTAGAAAGATATCATAATGGACGTAACAGCTTACTACTGATTTACTACTAGACACTTCCCATCCATTTCCTTATTTCACCCTCATAACAACCCTTTGAAGTAGATTCCAATATGTCACCATCATTTTACAGCTGATGAAACTGAGGACCAGAGAGGCAGAGGGACCAGCCTGAGATCACCCAGCAACACAGAGGCACAAAAGCAACTCACAGGTTCAGAGAATCCCAAAGCTTAAGTTCTTCTACACCATACTGGATGGCAACTCTGTTTTCTTTTATTAATTCTCAAACACACAGTAACTGTGTGCTACAAATAAATTGTAGTGCTGTTTAGGTACAAATAAATAGGAAATGACAAGCTGAGGATGGTAGCTGTTCTGTTCCCTATCTCTGCCTTCTGCTTTCTCACTTACGAAACCCAGCCAAGCCCTCTACTGCATGCCAATAGTCTGAAGTCACTTCTTGATACATTTCCTTGAATGGTTACTGAAAAATAAAATGAAATTATCATTCAGACATAGAAAGGTATAAACAGCTGAAACAGGCAAGGAAGCTAAATTAACACATACAATGTGGAATACTGTATAGGGAAGGGCATAAAAAAAATTCCATCATCTAAAGTCTACCTTACAAACAAACGCAAATAGCTCTATTCTTTAAGTATTCATGGAAGAGTGAACCAAGGATACAATGCAGTCTGTATCCTCAAGAAGAGCTTATTGGAAAAAGCACAACTCTAAGACAAAGACAAAAATAGTATTCAAATTCAATTAAGCATCAGTAATAACTGTTTCAAGGATTTCTGAGAGGTAAGAAAAAAAATGTTGGTTAAGAATTGACCTTAATCTTCTAGCTCCTCCAAATAAAACTCTAAGAAAAGTGGGACTCCTACCAAGAGGCAGTGAAAATCAGTCAGTGCCACCTTTCAAAAGTGGCATACTTCAGCTAGCAACTTCCAGCTCAATAAAGCCCTGATAGCTACTTGTTGTGACTTTCCAAATGGTTCACCTTCACAAGCTTCGCCTCCACAAGTAGCACCCAAGGAAATAAAAGCAACCCTGAGTCTCATCAATGTCAAGTAATAACATGGCGGAGTTGGCAGCAGCTGCTAGCTCTCGCCTCCAGCACCTGTGGGATTTCAGCACAGCACAGATATCCTGCATCTATGCTTCTAGCTGGGTCATGAGGCAGGGTCTGGGTGGTTTGCTCCTGTATCCCCAGTGCTCAGTACATTGTCTGCTAGACAATAGGTGCTCAATAATCAAGAAAATGAATCAAGCTACCAATCAGCTGGAAAAATGCAGGGTAATTTGGAGATGGTATTCACTTCTGCAGGTTCTTCCTATATTTTTATGGTCCTCATTTCACACAGAGAGCCAGGATTTGGTCATACTTGTCTCAGGAGAGGTATAAAGTCAGCAGCAATTCCTGTCCAATATGGAAACTCAGAGTCTCTGAAACTATTACTAAGGGCTTTCTGGAGCTGGTATGGAGAGGGAAGGGTAACTTTAAAGGCTGTAGGGGAGAGCAAGATATTTCTAAGGGAAGAAGGGGAAGAAGACAAATGTTGGAAGATCCTCTAAATAGCTGGGACCTAAGATCCATCTTGGCAGCACTCTGGGGGCACCAAGACCTCAGAGGGGACTACTCTGAGACACTCTTACACAGATCAGAAACAAGGCACTCAGGTACCAACCCAGCCCCAATGCCAGCACACCAAACCCAAGGTCACGCAGGTTGACAGAACAGTGACTGCAAGGCACCCCTGTGTGCTCTTTGGGACCCTGTGAGACCCAGGAGATCTTTGCACAGCACCCTAAGTGAAAATGGGAGGGGAGGAAACAGGAGAAAGAGAAGTGTCCCAATCATGATCAAGGTTGAAATTAGACCCTCCCTGGCAGGATGAGAAAACCTAAGGGATGATTTAAGAAAATGAAGAAAAACAATCATTCTTCCACTTATGGGATTGTCGATGGACATCGTACGTATTTACAAATCGCACACAACAAGTCTAAGGTACTCAGCTGGTGATATATTTATCATCTGGTGAAGCCAGGTGAGTTAGTAAAAATCGTCCAGCAAGATGTCGCCATGCAGAGCTGTGCTAGGCTGTGTGGATGCCAGCACCAACGCTGCTGCGGGACAGGCCTGAGAAGCAGGGACTCCCACAGGCAGCCTCAGGGCAGGACACTCCCCACGTGGCCCAGCAGCAGTTTTTTTCAGCCTCACTACTCAAATGACATGTCAATCCCCAGGCTTTATATAAAATCCATGTCAGCGCTGGGATTCATGGTTCTTGTTATCCGATGCTTTGTGGCCATTGCACTGCCTAATGATTAGCATCCAATTAGTGCTATAAACAGCAAAAAAGAAAAAAAACCCAACAATAACAAGAATGAAAATAGCAAAAACAAAAATAATGATATCATTGCAGAGTTCCTACTCTCTGCCAGGGAATGTACTGAACTCTTTACATGGATCATTGAGGTGAAAAAACAAAACCAAAAAAACCCTCTTCTGTTACCACTTTATATAGGTGAGAGGATTGGTGGTTATCTCCATTGCACAGAGGAGGAAACAGACTTAGACATACCCATGTGGATGGTAAAGGCAGAATTGAAACCCAGGCCATGTGACTCCAGAGTCCAAACCTGGTGGTTGTTGTTACCATAGTAAAACTAGTTAACACGACATCTACCCTTCTAACAGATGTTCAAGTGCACAACACAGTTTACTATCTACAGGCTCGGTGTTATACAGCAGATCTCTAGAATTTACTCACCTTTCATAACCAAAACTATCTATTTCAGAAACCACCTGTACGTAGAATCATATAGTATTTGTTCTTCTGAGACTGGGTTATCACACTTAGCCTAGTCATCTCCCAGCTTCACCTGTGTTGTCACCCATGGAGGATTTCCTTCTTTTTAAAGACCAAATAATATTCCATTTCACATATCACCACATTTTAAAAGTCCATTTGTCTGTCGCAGGACACTTAAGTTGCTTCCACATTTCGGCTGTTGTGAATGCGGTTGCAATGAAAACAGGAGTGCTAATACATCGTTCAGACCTGGATTTCAACACTCAGAAGCGGGACTCCTGGATCATACCGTAGTTTCATTTTTATATTTTTGAGGAACTTCCATAGTGAAGAAGCAGGTGCCCTACATACCCATAGTGTTTATATTTTTGAGGAATTTCCATACTGTTTTCCATAGCACCTGCCCCATTTTGCATTCCCACAAACACAAGAGTTCCAGTTTCTCTGCATTCTTGCCAATGCCTGTTATCTTGATTTTTTGATAATAACTGTCCTTAGCAGGTGTAAAGTGGTATCTCAATGTGATTTTGATTTGCGGTTTCCCGATGATTAGTGATGTTAAACGTATATTCATATACCTTTTGGCCATTTGTATGTCCCTTTCTAAAGAAATGTCTATTTCAGTCCTTTGCCCACTTTTTAATCAGGTTATTTGTTTTTTTGCTATTGAGTTGCAGGAAACAGCCCATGCTTTTAACTGTTACAGAATGTCATTGACATTGCCTCAGTGTGCAGTTATTAAACAAGTGAACACGCCAGGCTTAAAGATGATCCTGGATTCATCTTTGTACTCCCTAAATACTATACTCTCCAAGCTACAAAGGCCCAGAACCCCAACCTCACTACAGTCCTCATGTCTCAGTTTGCCCCACGGGAGAGACAGCACCCCTGACCCATCCTAGCATGTGCCCTACATACCCATGGAGGCAGAGCACTGCACCTTAGACATTTCCAGGTGGGGTTGGGATAGGGGAAGCTCCCCTGAGAAGAGATATCACGTGGGGGATGGGGTGTCACACATATAAATACTTATACTTTGAAAAGTATAAGTATTAATATACATTATTCTATAATATAAATCATATTTATCTATGGTTTGGTTGGTTACATAATGTAAATCCAATTTTGTATTTTACCATATGACATACAGTAACATCATCTTGGGATGGCCTTGGGAAGGTTTTGCAAGGCTAGTGATTTTCAAAGATGAGGAGAGTAAGTTTTGATAATAAGAGCTAACTTAGTATATGAACACCTCTATGAGGTGAGCCTTTATCTTAGTTTGGGTTCCCAAACTAAGAATGTGAATGGAAGTATTAAGATGTGCCTGGTGGAGGAGGGGAAGGAAATGAGAAAATGGGATAGGGAAAGCAAGAGGAGGGTGGGAAGGGGAGGAGAAGGGAGGAGTGGGAAGGGAAAGGAATCAAGCAAGGCTGTCCTATAAACAGAGTCGTACCTCGGGAAACTGCTCAATCCCACAGGGAAACTCTGGAAACAGTGCAGGAAGGATTCTCAAAAGTGTGGGCTCCAGACTGGCAGCATCAGCATCACCTGGGAATTTGATAGAAAGGCACATTTAAAGTTGCCCTTCTAGCAAATTCCCAGCCCCGTCCCCACCTGCTGAATGAGAATTCTGAAGTAGGACCCAGCATGTTTTATTTTAACAAGGCCTCACGGGATTCGGACTCAAGAACCTACAGGTGCATCACACCTCGGAGTTATGCTGATCCAGCAAGGGAGCCAGAGTATTTAAATCCCGCACTTGCCTGTCATTGGTTAAGGGCTAGCGAGGAAAAAGCCTCTGGTGTTTGTTACCATGGTAAGAAACCATAAGGATTTGGGGGGCCCACCTGACTGTGTCTGCTAAAGAATTGGTCTTTATTTTCCAAAGAAGTCAGCGAGGCCATTTTGACTTGCCCAAGGCCACACAACTGATCAGAGTCAAGACTCAAATCTAACTTTGTATGATTCTAGAACCAATCTTTTCTCCAAAATACTACACTTCCTCAAGATGGACATAGGTGGAAAAGATTGAGATGCATACACTTCCACTACAGCTCAAGGTCCCTCCCCCCACCCATCCTCTTTTCCTCAGTGAACACTTCAATGAAAGAACCCATTGCTTCCAGTGGTTCCTGTGGCTCAGTGAGTAAGGCTCCGTCCCCATATACCCAGGGTGGCGGGTTGAAACCTAGTCCTAGCCAAACTGCAACAAGAAAATAATTTTAGCCGGGCATTGTGGTGGGCGCCTTTACTTCCAGCGGCTTGGGAAGGTGAGGCAAGAGAATCGCCTAAGCCCAAGAGTTTGAAGTTGCTGTGAGCTGTGACACCACAGCACTCCTACCATGGGTGACAGGGTGAGACTCTGTCTCAAAAAAAAAAAATTGCTTAGGCTAAAATATTGATTACATTAATTTCCATACCAATCAGTCCCTCAGGGATAAAGCTTCTCCTCTCCTTCAGAACACTCCATCATCTCTAATCTAACATATCAGTTAAAGGTATAAGAATTTCTTTCTTAGAATAACACATTCTAAATAGAATATCAAAAATAGAAAAGTTTGCCTTCTAGTCCAATCTGTAGTGGCATCTACTTAGATGCTGCTGAAAGGAAGCAAACAAAATGAAAATTATATAAATTTATTTTGCAAATAATTCAATGTAACTGCTTAGAAAGAATCTTTATCAATGAAAGGATTTCTAAATGCTAGCCTTTTTTTTTCATAAGTGTGATTTTTCATTGCAACTGATTTCACACTGCCATGTATTAATAAAACATTGTGCACCGTTTCTCTATTTGGGTTTCACGGACTCCCAAGAGTTCATAGTCTATCCATTGCAGTTCATGAGTTGTACAAGTATTTTATGTTGTCACTTAACTTATAATCTAAAAAGATTTTGCCAGTTAGAGAAAGTAAACAACTTTTGCTATGATATTCCCTAATTGAAAAGCAATTTAATAGAATTAGACTCTGGATTATCACTGGTGTTTCTTTTTTTTTTTTCTTTTTTTTTTT